CATATTATTGAGCTTCTGGCAGACCATCCTTTTGTCTTGGTCTCAACAGAGGGAAGGTAAAGAGAACTGGCTCAATGACTTGCTCACAAAGTGCAATTTGATTGAAGATACTCAAGTCCTGTTCAAAGATCGGACATAGGAGCAGAGCTTCAGAGTACTTAGCTGTATGTGGAGGTGTGCTTCAGAGGGGGTGTACTAGGATTGGATGCAGTTTGATGGTTGTAGACGTAGTTTGGAGGGTCCTAGTTGTAGATCATAGGGATGCGCAACATTTTGAAAAAGTTTAAAGCCGGACTGAGCTCTGCTGAGTGGGAGATGTGATTCTGTGTGAGTCTTGCTACTAGGGGCCAAGTGCTGGGTTACAATCATGCAAAACCACTCTTAAATATCTCTCATCCTGCCTGAACTGCCCGAGTCACCGCCTCCACTGCCCTGACCATGCTTAACGATCTCAATACCCTTCCAACACCTGCCTGACACCTCTATCAGTTTCAACTCCCATCCCACGTGCTACATCCTGCTAGTCTCGGAGGCCCGACCGTTGCAAGTCTTGGCATTGCAACCTGAGCGCACCGACCTATTGGGTCACCCAACAGTCCTGTATTGAGTGTCTCAGTCTCTTGATGATGGGGATTCTCCCACAAAGCTGAGCTCCCAGAATAAGGCTGCCACTGAAAAATCCCAATCAGATCGTAGTGAGGTTGCAATGCCTTGAAGATGTCGAAGAACAGGCTTTGCTTGAAGACATTTTCGTGTTGAGGTATCGCAGGCTTTCCTGAAGGCAGAAGTTTTGAACGCTTTGAATGTTGATTTTAACTTGAAGTGTGCCCATCCGCTGTGTGGGCCTATCACCAAGCAACTGGAATTCATCAAATAACAAATTGCTAGTCTCTTCACTGTAGGGTTACAAATCCAAGGACAGCAAGAGTTCAATCAAGAGTACATCAGACTAGTGGGGACTCTTAGGGAGTTTATCAGGATAGGAGAAGAGTACCCAGAAGTTCAAGAAGAAGTAGAGGTTCGTGGACCACCACTACCAAACTCACCCTGTGCACCTATTCCCACTCAGTGGTTCCTACAGCAAGTCACCTCATTGCCTGAGGTTATTGAAGTTACAAGGTGTGCTTTGGAAGAAGAACTCTGGAACAGAGTCAGAGGACTTGAAGCAGAGCTAATATTAGCTGCCCTTCAACATGAAGTAGTATCTGGAGTAGTAGAACACATGCAATTGGAGTAATTGGCAGGAGATCCAAACAACTTCAATCTGACACTCACACAATCATTTTCATCACCCCTGGCACAGGAAGTATCTGGCACACCAGTGCCTTAATACTCACCACCACCATCTGCATATTTACCACTGCCCCTCACATACCAAGATGACCAAATCTGACTCTCACCTGATTACATAGGACTAGCCAAAGGAATCAGGCAAGCAGAAGAAGAGATTACAGCCCAGAGACACAGAGAAGCATCTCCACTTGAGTACATGACAGCAGAAGAAGAAATAGCAGAGGACCCAATATCCTCCAGCACAGTTGTTAGCAGTGAGAGCAGTGTAAGTGCAAGTACCTCAGAAGGAGAACTCAGAGAGGGCTTGGAACCCAGTAGGCCATTTCCCCCTTGGCTTCACAGCAGGAGGATGATAAACAGGGATACCCTGGGAGAGCAATGCCACTATCAGCACCCCTACTCCCACACACACCCCCTACTCCCATCACAGACTCAGTCCAATAGGACATCAATTGGTTCTGCAGCACACCAGAACAAACAGTTAAATACATGCCTCAGCCCTATGCCAGAGCTGAAGGTATTTGGCAAGTGCATCACCAAAGAAATTGATGAGAGGATTCTTTGGCATTTGTAAACAAACAACACTTGAATTACATCCACTGTGATCTGCAAAGGCTCCAGCACAAGACAGGCTACTCTCTTTTGAGTACTATGCAGCAGGAGCAAATCCGTTTTTTAATAAGAAGGATAAGTAGCATCTTATCAAATATTAACTACCATGGCACAGAAGTATACAGGCCAATTACAAGGCAACTGCTTGTGCAGTTCATAAATTGAGTTAAGGACTAGTTTGGTGATATGAAGTATAGAAACCTTGGACAACTTGTGAAGGAGATATTGAGAGAAAGTGACCATGTGGAGTTAGGGAGAGACAGTGTAATTTGGAACAACTGTCTCTAAGGATTTTATCTAGTATTCACTTGGACATCAGTAATAGTAACAAGTACTATTATAAATTGTAATATTCATATATCAACAATGTCTTCCTCTACCCTTGAATCAATGACTGGTGTTGAGCCCAACCCAGCATTATATCAACTCAACTCTCAAATCAATGAGGCAGTGATTGCAAGACATTATCTGTTACAGTCTTGAGGGGGGTTCTCTTTCTTCCTCACTATCTGTTGTTGACCTTGTACTATCACAACTGCTCACATCACTTGGTGTGTTTCACCTGCATCACTGTTTCATATATATTGCATTTCACTTATATCACATTTCACTTATATCATGTTTCATCCTCATTACTGATACAACCCAGTGAAGCTGTTTCATACTCATCACTGATTTAACTCAGAATATTTCATACTTATTAAACTCTATCTACCTTACTCTATTTAAGGTGCACTACTTGCACTACTTGCACTACTATACTTCAGTTTTGTCCTCTTGTTCCCTATGTAACTTCATAGGGACATCTTTAGTAATAGACACCATGGTCTATTCTAGTCTTAGTCTGAAGCCCTGCTTCAACCAGTATATGCTCTCAAACCACTATCAGTTATAGTGGCTCAGTCTACAAGTCTAGTCTCAGTATAACGCATCAGCCTTACACGTATCAGTATCAGTATCAGTCATAAGCCAGACTCCTGATCCTCAGGTATTAGGTCTCTTAACAGTCACCAATTGTTTACCAACTTAAGCTACCACCTAAATGGAAGATATGCCCAGTATTCCATGCAGGACTTCTACACCCCTATTGGGAAACCAAGATACATGGCAACAACTATCTCTGACCATCCCTGGAACTAAACAAGAATGAAGAGGAGTTTGAAGTTGAATATATAATTGATTCCAAGATGGTCAGCAAAAGAAAGCTCTATTGCATCAGATAGAAGGGCTATCTGGCTTTGGATGTCTCTTGGTTACCAAAAACTGAACTAACACATGCACAGGATGTGCTGGAAGAATTCCTGAGCCAGCCCTAAGCCGTGCAGTTTTTAAGAACCCACAATCCCCACTCAACCCAATAGCTAACATTATCCTTATCACCCTCCTTATTTTGTGGTTTCTCATCACACTCCTTATCCTCATTGCTGCTCACCTTGGTCACTACCTCTATGACCACTTCATCCTTTGAGTCCTCAACCACTCCCTGGACAGTATCAACCTTGATCAGTGGAATGGCCTCCCAGGAGTAATGTTCTCCAACTACATCATCACTCTGTTTTTCACTAACAGACCCAGTAGAGTCAATTGTAGCAGACAACACCCTTGTCCTTACCACCCTCCTGGGTCTTCTCCTGATCACCCTACTCTCTGTTCTCTCTCTTGCCCTTACCTTTCCCCTCCTACTTCACATCAATATCAAGCACCTGGCATACAAGCACCAGTGGGCGTTCAACATTGCTGCAACAGTCCAATGCCCCCTCCAGCCTACAGTCACCCACCAACCCATCATCACTACTCATTGCAACCAAAACCAGCTAGGTGGAGTGTATTTTGAGTACATCAAGGATCCCTCCAACTAGGAAGTGGGATCAGAGTTGGGACTGAACACTGGTGTTTACCTTCATCCATAGTACTTGAACCCTCCTGTATTCTTTTTATCTCATTCTCTTATTTGATCTTCAACTCTTTATCATACTCAAATGTATATATGGCCAACCACTACAAACAATTTACTCAGGAACAAGACTATGAAGAGGTTGTAGAGTGAATGGACATTGAAGAAGCAAGAAGGCCCAGAGTTGAGGAAAATCAAAGGACCAGGTATTAATGTTTAATCTGTAGAGACATGCCCCTTCATAGTCAAACCAAGGAGGTGGTTCTCTGAAGACTTATTGTGGTAATGATTGAATTAGACAAGGGGCGATGATAGAAGAAGGAGATAAGAGTTGCTCTGCAAGAGTGGGTCTAGTGGATAGAAGGATGAGGGTACCAGGATAGAAGGGAAAGGGAGTAGGTTAATCCCCCTGTCATTGTCAACAATACTGCTTATATCTGTTGGGGGATCTTGGACAACTGGGATCAGGAGTTCTAACTGGTGTTTAACTAAGAGTTGTATAGCTGTAATGCTTAAGTCCTAGGCTCAGGGACTTGTACTGTGGTTTGTCTGACTAGGGCTGAGCTTCCCTATCAGGTAGAAGTTGGAGAGCACAGGCTGAAGTTAAGCAGAGAGAATGCCCAGGTTCTATTACTGATGTCTCTATGTAGTATACATAGGAACAGGAGGAAAAAATTGTTGAGACCAAGACGAAAGGATGGTCTGCCAGAAGCTCAATAATGTG